CGCATCTCGGCCATGCAGGGCATCTTCCGGAAGACCAAGACCCTGGGCACTGAGCAGAGCTGAGCTGGGCCCCAGGCTCTGCCACCCCACAGAGGCTCCTGGGACGTGTGGACGGGCTGGACTTCCCCTTGGGGAGGGTGGTGGAGGGACTCTGCTCCCGGGAGTCCTCAGTCTGTCCAGGGGGTGGCTGTGATAGTCAGTGCCGGGCAGCACCGTGTCCCCCAGGCCAGGGGCCTAGGATGGAGCTGCCCCAGGTGGCACCACCAGGAAGACCCAGTGTCTGCATGGGGATGTGTGGTGGCTGCTCCGTGCCTGAGTGCAGGCGGCCCTTGGTGGTGAGCACTGTGCCYGCTCCCACGGACACCCCGCACACGAGGCCCCACTTCCTGTATCTCTAGTGGAAATACAGAGGCCTGGAGGCAGAGGGGGCTTGTGTGCCGACGATTTCAGACCTCTCCGTTCTCTGCGCGTGGCCTTCCCTCAGGGTCCCCTCCTGCAGTTCACCGGTGCCCCCACCCCCGCTGCAGCATGTCCACCTGCCCCCTACTGCCCCACCTGCCTGCCCCTCCCTGGGGAAGGCCCCTCTGCCACATTTCTCTTTCCCTGCTGGCTGCCCAGCCCACAGCCCTGTCAGCCCACTGCCACCTGCCTGCAGTCCGTGGCCTCTCTGTCCCCAGCCCAGGGGAYATTTTCTACCATGCATCCTCTGCAGCTGCTGGGTGGCATTTGCAGCCTCCCYAGGACCCTGGATGGGAACAGCCTCCTCCCGGGCCCAGAGGCCTGGTGAGCGGAGTAGCCACGCGGTGGCAGCCAGAGCCAGGGCCTCGAGCGCTGCAGGGTAGGGAGGATCCTGTGTCCTGAGGACAGGGCATCTGGGACCTTGCTCACACACCACAGGGAGCGAGACGGTGCTCAGGGCCTCGGGGAACGGCAGAGGCTGCAGGCGCCTGCTCAGGAACATCATGGCTGACGGGGAGGCGTCAGCTGCATGGGGCCAGAGCACAGTGGGCTCYGAGCAGAACATGCCACCCTCCCACCCCAGAGCCCAGGGGGTCCACGGGAATGGTGCCAGGTGGCATCTGGCAAACCCCAGCGTGGGAGCTGAGGCTAGAGCCAGGGCATCAGCAGGTGTCGGMCTCATAGGGAACTGACCCTGGCCCCAAGCAGCCCTCTGGTCTGAGCTCATGCCATGGGGTCCTGCGTTTGGGGTGGCCGTGGTGTATGCAGCGATCCATGGGACAATGGTCATGGTCCTTCCAGGATCAGGCTAAGAGGGCGGTGGGGACAGTTCTGGGCAAGCCCAGTGGGCTGGACCAACCTGCCATGGCCTCTGAGGACCCAGGCTACGCTGGCCTTCCCTGGGAAGGAAACTTGGAGCCTGGCTCCTGGGGCTCACTCTGCGGGGGCCACCCAAAGGGGACCCTCTCAACTCAGTGTACCCAGAGGGCAGTGGGGAGGTAACGTCCTCCCAGAAGTGGAAATGGTCTGTCCATTCTGAGTGGAGGCAAGTGGCCCGAGGCCAGGCGCACGAGGAGCAGGTGACCCTGTCATGAGTGCCCGGGTGTGGCTCTCCTGTGACGAGACGGGCCACGGAGACAGAGCGCAGGGCAGAAGGGCACAGMACTCCCCTTGGACACCACCACAGGACGACTGTGGCCTTCCCCGCGGATCTCAGCACAGTCCCAGGACACAGGACAACCACAATGTGATGTCCAGACACGGTGAGAACATCAGGTGTTCAGTGTCCCCACGTATCGCGCACAGCAYAGGGCGTCTGGGGAGAAGTCACCAGGGCACCTCGGTGCATTTCGACTGGTCACAGCAGCCACAGTGTGAACTCTGGGAGATAGAGCCAAGGAAGAGCTGGGGTTCCTAGTGTGAGGTGCTCAGGTCAGAAAAGATGTCTCGGGTCTATGATCTAAAGCTTTCCCCTGAGAAGCCAGGGAAGAGGAGGAGCCCAAGGGCGTGGACATTAGCACACGGCGGTTCAAACAGTCGAGTACACCTACAAAGGAAAGGGAGAGAACACAGCCAACGCGAGTCCAGCCAAGGGCCCGGTGGAATCGGAGTGGAAATCAACAGAGAAGGAACAACAGAAAACCACAGAGGAGACCCTGGCTTTGAAGGACCAACRAGATGGACACTCGAGCAAGCAGGGACTTCCCATCCCCAGGCCCCGAGACCTGAGTGGCCAAGAGTACTGCCCGGGGAATGGCTCTCCCCTGCCTGTGCGCCTCTCCTGCACACCTAGAAGACCCAGAGGGTCCCACACAGACCACCAGGCCTGCTGCACRCAGTGAGGTCAGAAGACAAGGTCAACACAGAGACCACTGCACTTAAGTGGAGTCTTAAAACACCACTTAAAACAGCATCAAAAAATCAGACACCTGGGGACGAGCCTGAGACACACGGGAAGGGCTCGGCCGCGAGGGCCGGCAGCACTGCCAGAGACTTAGACCCTCCTGACTCAGGCTCGTGGACGGAGACTTGTGACAGTCTGGTGACTCTTCTGCCATCTTTACCCTGGTGCCTAGATGGGAGCAGCTCCTGTCCAACACCAGTGAGCTATTCTGAGAGACAAGATGACCCCACGTTCTCCACACTATGGGGAAGGACTGAGCATGGGAAAGTCTCTCAGAGGCACCGTGYGCTGCAACCTGTGCCCGTGGGTTCAGGACCCCTACCGCGGCCACACCACGGAGGACACAAGAACCCTGCCTCCAACAGAACAGAGGGCCAGACGCCCCCGATCGGCTTGGTCAGTGGGATTCCATCCAGTCGGCCACTCGGTCGCGTGGGGAGAGCAGTCTGTCTGTTCAGCAGACATGGCTAGGACAACTGGCGAGCTCTGGGTGACCACGCACCCCGCACAGGACACGGGCAGCTCGGAGCTGCACCTGGACGTGCACCAGAGCGCTTCCGAGGAGGAGAGAGGGAGGCGTTTCACAACCTGGCGTAGAAAGACTTCTCCACCTGGAGGGAACGGCCACCAGTAGCCCTTCCCCACGATGGAAGCCCTTCCCCACGATGGAAGCCCTTCCCCACGATGGAAGCCCTTCCCCACGATGGAAGCCCTTCCCCACGATGGA